ACCTCAGTCCCCCAACAGCCTTCGCGGCCCTTGGTAATCGGGGAGACGACAGAGCCGGTATGATTTTCGATGGCGTCAATACCATGAGTGACAGGTGGCTAAATTTTACGGAGACTTGCCACGGTCTCCAACCCTCTTCCTTCCTCATCCGGGCTTGGGACCGGGAATGGCGGCGTTTAACTATTATATTAATTGTTAATGTCTATCCTCAATAAATTGATCACCAGCTTGAGCAATCACGAGATGCTTTACATATCGAAAGCTGATATGCTCATGTTGAGGTTATTTACAAGAAATTGTCTCTAATACTTCCAACGGGATTATTACAGACTAGGAAAGCGACTTCTTATTGCTGAGTATCTTTTTTATGTAAATGAGTGAACGTCAATACGCGAAAACCAATGCTGTAATTTTTGATGAGTTACTGAGGAAGATATGATTAGGTCTGAAGAAGACAACAACCCTGATTCAGTGTCATTTGGATCTGGATCCACAGTAAGATGAAGCGGATAAAGTTGTGACACTGTTTCTCACGGCTTTCGAAGAGATCCGCTGAGGCCAGTTCTGAACACAGTGAAAGTAAACGCAAGACAAATGAGCGTGCCGAAGTCTGTTAAGAAAATATGCAGATCTTGTAACTGCAGATTTCATCTATAAGCAAACTCCATCAAAATAAGAGAGAGAAGAACATGATTGAGCTACGCAATGTAACAAATTATGCTTGGGAATGAACAGAAAATCACATTATCGAGCTACTTCCATGATTCAATCCTGGAAATCCAACGTAAACTTATTGAAACTCATACATTCATGTCACCACTTCAACAGGTATGAACATTGCCAATAAGAGAAATTAATATGAAGAACCATTTTTAGCTACACATCTTAACCCAAAGATAGAGAACCATTGCCAGGATTACTTCATGCAGGCAGGATTTCATCAGGCTCTGTATGTCTTGAGTTGAGGACGACGAATCTTGTCATTAGGCCGAAGAGTAGATCGAATTGAACGGATAACGGCTGATATGGATTGTTATTCTAGCTACTACTATGAAACAACGCCAGGAAAAACAACATTGATATGTAAAACGCCGTTAATCCTATATTAATCCTATGAACTGATTAGAAGACAAAGCGCCCAATCTGTCAGAGAGCAAACATCGAGGATCGCTTATCCCTTCTCGCGAAGGCAAATGCATCATAAAATATCTCCAAAGTTTCCGATCCTATGCCAGCGTTTGAGCTTTGGCCGAAGATAACCAGAGTCAGGAACGAAGACTGTTGAGGGTTTTGTCTCTCGTCGTTCTCTGACGTCCCCGGATTCTTTGGTTGATCAGTAGGAAAAGTAGTAGCTGTTTCACCTTCCATTCTGAAAGCGCTGGAAACATGTTTCCAAACCGTCGCAGCTCTGATTGTTCAATCATAGGAAGCAGGGGTTGTACACCAAAGCTCTTTCTCTGTACTCTGGACCGTGTCGAGGGCCGCGATCACAACAATTCGTGCCAGAAAATCCATTTCAGAAGCTGATATGCGTTATGAAATTTTTCCAGCTGCGACATTAGTGCTCAAGTCGATGAAGATCAACTTGAACACCGACAGCTTAGTCTTCAGACTCAGCTCTGCTTTAGTCACAATGGTTAAGGTTAGTT